CTCCTCTGGGTGAAGATTTCACCTTGTGAAGCAGGTGCAAATACTGAGCTTGAGAATTACAGGCAACAAGCACTGCCTTGGCAAGATGTCTGTCCTGGAAGATGACAAGCAGAACTTTTATTGTAGAAATTATATTTAATATATTCATTTTCTCTTTCTGCCTTCCTTCCTTCCTTTTTTGTCTTTTTGTCTTTGTTGGCCTCATTTGGTATCAGGTTCAGCAAGATGCAAAGCTGCACTTTTTTAGAGCTCAGCTGTTATAACTGAGCACCATATGCAGCCTTTCAATCCCTGATATGGAATACTGTACATGCTGCTCCATGTTTGTAAGAGATTTACAGAAGCTTGAGTTGTGTGTATTAAAGCTGTGTACATCTAGACATTTGGGAAAGTACTTACAGCAAAGCTGCTGCTGGTGCAGGCCTATACTAATAACCTGGCAAAGAGTCAGCTTTTGCCCTTACATAATGCCTTAAATTGCCATCTCTGTTGAAAGGTCAGAGTTTACTTGTGAGGATCATCACTGTGATCCCAAATCTGGTGGGTATTTTTTTTTCCTCACTTCCCTTTTCACACTGGCTTAATTGCAGACTCATTTCTTTTTACTTCAAGACATAAAAAGCAACTTTAAGAGGCTTATTTTACAAGTAGAAACACTATAGCTAAGTATCTTTGGAAATGTTTTGACGCTATAACATTAATTAATGATGTTTGAAAAGCTAGGTTTTATTTATAGGTGCATTGCTTAAATCTAGGATCAATTCCACTAGCACTAGTGAAATAATAGAATTAGCCCCAACATTGCTACTGTCAGGCTGTACTCCATTATGAGTAACAGCTGCAAAAGGGCACTGTACTAAAAAAATAAGAAAACACCTCCCTGCCATGTCTTTGCAAAGCACATGCTTTATGAGCTGTGGAGGGGACACAATGACTTGGTGCAAGGCACATGTCCAAGTCCTGTTGCAAAGGAAAGGCCACAGAATGAGTCTCTTTCCTGCCTCTCATGGCATGTTCAAGTAACATGGTCTATTGGTAGAGAGAGTGTGATCACATTAAAAAAGTATTTTTATTGCCAGGGAAAAGAGCCTAAATTGTAGGTTTTTGTTCAGCCTTCAGATTGTAATCTGTGGGTGTCCACATGGCTCTAGGTAAATGGGAATCACTGATCTCTGGAAAATTGAAAGCACAATGTATTTCTGCTCTATCTCATATAGATATGAGATATATCCATATCTCATACATAGATATATGAGTATATTTATATATGTGTGTATATATATACACACACTCCAATGTTATATATATAATATATGAGTATATATATATGTGTATATATATAGTATGTATAGTATGTATACGTATAACTCATATGAGTTATATATATGAGTTGTTTCTTGGTGTTTGTTCATTCTCACAATTCATAGGGGCACCACTAAATTCTTACAGCTCTAACACAGCATGGAGAAAGCTGAAAATGCAGCCCAACACAGCGTTGCCTTTCTGGGAAGTCTGATGCTGATTTGGACATCAGAATGTCACTGGTTTGGATGAGCCTACCTAGGTGCCCTAATATCACACCCCAAGTTAGGGTACAAGCCCCCAGATCCTGGAGGAAGGGTCACAAGTCTCAGAAATACTGACTTTTTCTGGGAGGCTGAGGAATAGGCTTTGTCATCCTGAAGGCCTGCACAGTTTTGGCAAAATGAGATTGCCTGTCTTCTTGGTAAAAGAGTAGGTGGATATTAGTAAGAAATCTCCATTCCTGGTGGCTTGAACTGCTGTCACTTGGCAGTGCAGGGAAACTGGACTCTCCTTTTTTCCCAAGGCAATGCTGTCACTCACAGCTGACATCTGTCATTACTACTGATCTGGGTAAAAGCAAGTCCCATAGAGCTTAAAAAGAGAGATGTCTGCATCTCCACTCTATTTTTCTGGTAATGAAAGTAAGCTTGTCTCCTTAGGGCTGAACCAAAGAGCACTGGCAGCCTGTCCCAATGCAGGGAAAGTGTCTGTGGTTTCTGGAGCTGAGTCTGTTCCCTGCAGTCCCTACTATGCTGGCTGTCTTGCACCAGGAGTTGGTAGCTCTTCCAGTTCCATGAGGGGTGTAGAGAGAGTTTCTGGGTGCAAAATACATGAATTCTGATCCATTTCATGTCCATTTGATAGCTGCATCCGAGGGGTTACTGAGGAACTGTGACAGGGCTGTTACTGATGGGTTTGTACCTGCATCAGTGGGTGGCAATCAAGTGGAATTTAGCTAAGACATCTAGCTAAGACTCTAGCTAAGACATCTGTGGAGCATCCCTTCACCCTTATCACTAGCAAATGCAGCCTGATTTGTGCCATCTTTACTCGTCATGACTTGATCTAGTTGACTGAACCAACTTAATGCTCTCCTTATTTGTGATGAAGGCTGCTCCTTGCCCCCTCAGCCCTCTCTGCCTGCTGGCTGCAGTTGGACAGTCTCAGCATGTGGGACAGTTCCTCTGGGCTTTCAGTGACTCCCAGGAGCCTGGCTGCAGTTTCACAGGCTAGCATGTCAGTGACTGTTATCAAGAGTGAGTGGGAAGGGAACATTAGGCAGAGGTCCAAGAAGAGGGTGATATAGCAGTGTGGTATTTTCTGTTTGTGCACAGCAGTCACGTGGAGTGTGACATTCCCAGGAGCTCAGTGATGGACAGCCTCAGTCACACAGTGGAGTAGCAATATTTTGGGCCTTGTTTAAATATTAAACTAAAGACTAAGAGGCAGAAGGATGGGATTTCTGGGCTATGTCTGGTGTTTTGAGCTCATTTCTGATCTTTCTGGAGCAACAGAGACACTGTTAACAGAGTGTTAATGTTAAGGATCTCCCAAGAAAAATCACCAAATGTGCAGTAGAGTTACTGCTATTTATTTTTTAAATGTGCTTTGTAAGAATGGCTGTAAGTGGGATTTATACACTCATACTTCTGTCAGCTATGCTTCCTGTTCATTTCTCTCTTGAGTTCTAGCCATGTTTTCTTCCTGTGTCTCTTTTTAGATGACCTCTTCATCACATTTTAAGGAATGCCTTACCACATATATCATATTCTAATGTAATTGAAAACTGGTCTACTCACATCTTATCTAACACCAAGGTAGGGGAGTAGCCTATTTATCAAAAGCTGCATATTTTTCCCTTTTAATGATCTAACAAAACTATTCAGAGAGGACAGAAGCAAATCTGAAAAGACTTTCTGAAATGTCTTAAGCATTCATCTTAAACACTTCCCACTTTCCTGGGAGATTTATGGAATACTAGGTATGATCTGACTGAGACCAAAAGGTGATTCAAATATTTATGTGAACAAAAGAAAAGCAAACAGCCATTTTTCTTAATTTGTAGAGAATTCAATGAAAGGACAGAACATCTTTGATTTTGTTTAGCAACTGGAAATAGATGGGTTTATAAAGATACCATATATGTAAAGAGGAAAAATTATAAAAGTGGAAGGTGACAATTACTGTTATTTTGTATATTCCAGTGCCTTTCTTTTAATCTTATGGATTTTATGGGTCTAGGTATGTGGTATGTGCATATATCTTTAATCAAGTGGATATCTACTATGATTAATATATTCCTTGTTATTCTGTCACTGAAAAAGTAACTTGAGACAGGTATGGTACCAGTACAGTGAAGAACTCTAAGGCAACATAGAACCACATTTACCACTCAATGGTATCTGTGTCACCACAGTTATTTCCTATTCTTTGTAGAAATAATACTGTGGTTGCTCAGATGCTGCTCAGTAGTAACTGTGTGTAAATGATGACTTTTTGAGGGTATAATTATAGTATAATTATAAGGAACTTTGTTTGGAAAGTGGGTAAGGAATGAAAGTGGACATTAATGAAAAGGAGAAGAAGAAGTAGTGAACAAATACAGAACAGTTTTCTATTACTCTCTGCTTGGCAGTTTCTTTTAAGTCTCATCGTTGAACATACAGATACTTTGCAGTGAAAACCAAACTCACTTTCAATGACACTAAAGGGACAAGGCCGTATGACTTGGGCAATGCAATAGCACTGTGGTAGCTGTGAAATCCAAGCAAGGGAAAGGTATGAATATATATATTGTGGTACTGTGGTACGAGCAAATCCATGTTACTTGTGTACCCACCAAACATCATTTGCACTACCTTTTGTATAAAAACAGTACAGCAAGTTTGTCTATGTTTAAGAGAATGTCTGATGGCAAGATTGCACTACCTTTCTTGTTCTACTCAGTTTTCATACAGGTGGCAGGTTCAGTATCTGTCTGAACTTGCCAAAAGAAACTGAAGCCAATGAGGCTGCTGAAATATCACCAAGGAATGGGCTCCATTTCTTTTGCACTGAAAGAACTCTGAAAAGACCTGAAAGTATGTTTGCAGCAGCCAGAACTGAAGAACTCACAGCTGCGGGTACAATTGGTGCCCATCAATTCCCAGGCAGTCTCCTCCCAGCTCCCCTGTGGTGAATAGCAATTTTTTGCACACATATCTGAGGGCAAAAAAAACATGCACAGGAGTGACCCTGATGCAGGTTCTCAGTCTGTTGAGGAGAGTGATTACTGTCAGAATTAGGCATGCTGCAGATACCTTGCTTTTTATGTGCAGCAACAGTGGAGTGATCTCATCAACTATCTGAACATTCAGCAAGTCCAAAATCAAATGCTTGTGTGTCAGATATACACAGCTGTATTTGTACTGTTGCTCTATCTAAAGAACATGCCAATTGCTTTACTTAGAGTGAGTTGAGAGACTCATTACTAAGAACATGTATAGCATTATCAATGAAAAAACATTATTGTTCTTTTCCTCAGTGGTTTTAGTGTCCTTGCTTATTCTTTCACAGGAGCCTGTACTAATGTGTCTTCAGAGACTGTGGGGCCTAATTCTCTGCTTCCCTGTGCAGTGTGTTGGCATTGACACCTTTGCACAGTGAGTGGGGATGTGAGTCGACACAGGCAGCCAGGACAACCACAAACTCAGAGACAGAATGCAAAGAGTAAATTTATTTCTGCTACCTTGCTAACCAGGGACTCCCTAAAGCAGAGGCACATCGGAGGAGATATAGACATTGTTAAACTCAGTCCATGCCAGGAGATCACTGTCTGCTGCTGCTCATACTGGCTTATCAAGGGTTATTCCCAGCTGCAAGGTCACTTGAGCCATTTACAGCCCTCCTCGCCAGTCTTCCGCTTTTTAACCCATTCCTCCCAACTTTCCACCCCCTTGCTCAAGAGACCACTGCTGCTAGGGCTGGAGATGTGGGATGGGAGATTTACAGAGGCACTTAAGCATAGAGGAAAAGGAGTAAACAAATAAGCATATAATGTTCTGAGTCAAGTGTCCCACCCCTCCTGACACGCACCACCAGTAGGTTGTGATTTGCAGTCCTTGAGATACTGAATGATGTCCCCCACTCCAACTGGTTCTGCAGCCAGGTCACAGCAGCGCACGCCTTCAAACTTGGAACAGAGCTCATGATGTTGAAGGGGAATGTAGTTCTCCAGTAACCAGTGTTGCAAGGTTCCACAGTGTGCATCAGTTACTCCCAATTACAGGGGAACAGTTGCCTTGGATTTCCAAGTTAAACCTCACATGAGGGCACACGTCACCTGCTCTACAGACACTTCCCAGAAAGAAAAATGACAAGTTAGTTACAATAAAAAACAGCCACACACAAGTATTTACATATTAATTTTGCAGAATTGTATCCAAGATATGTGCTTATAGTACAAGGCTAAAAAGCACAACAAGCCAGTCTGTGGAGGAAAACAGGAGTGTCATCTCTGTCCAGTGACACACATGTGGTTGCTCCAGTTCCTCCAGGCCTGGTAACTGGAGAATGGGTAATGGTCAGCACAGGCTGGAGAGGTCTGGCTTGTGCTATTTTAGATGGAACCTTGACTGAATGTTGGGCCTGTGACACAAATAACATAGTTCTAGTGCATTCCCCCTAGATAAGACACAGGAGATAATCAAAGATACGTGAAATACAAGCACTTGAGAATATATTAACAGAGGATATAGAATAAAAGGAAAAAGATAGAGACAATTTTACTGCGTTGTCAGAAGTTATTATATGAATGAGCACATCTAGATTAAGAGCTTGCACAATCCATTGGTATAAACAATTCCATTTCCTCTGTAATATTTTGGGAAATCCACCATCTTAAAGATTTTTGGTCCTCACTGTGTTTTGTACTGAAGGTGTACAGTCATGCTATTTTGGCCTGTAATTCTTTCAGTTTCTTGCAGTGCCCAAGCTACATCTTTAATTCATTTTCCCACCAGGGTATAATGTATGGCAGTGCCTTGGAATAACTGGGACCAAGATTCTACAGATAATTTTTTTTGCTGTTTGGTCCAGTCATCAGCCGCAATCCCCATGAGACTATATAATCTAGAATTATTATTTCTAATTTAAAAGGATTTCCTTGTCTAGGAGTGCATAATTGTAGCTCTTTCAGTGTATAAATGTGTGTGATCTATGCCACCCCACCATCTGCTAAGTCTGGCTAAATCTCAATCTCAAAGTCTGAATACTCACCCCAAACATTTCCATCCCATTCTTTGGGATCCCGTGAAGGTTTCATAGCTGGAGCACGAACTTGAGAGATCAACACCTTATTTTCCACATATTTATGCCTGGGTGACACCAGCTGCTGTATAGTGCATTGCTGCTCATAGCACTGCTCTGCTTGAGTGGTGGTGACTTCGTGTGTGATCATCTTTGCAGCCCGCAGAGTCACAACTTCCCTTTCCAGCTCCCTGACTTTCCCCAGCAGCGCGGTGACCTCGCGCTCCAGCGCTCTGGCATAGGTCACCAGCTCCAGCTCCCTCACTTTGCTCTGCAGCGCTATGGCCTCGCAGTCGCGGGCTCGGGCGTAGGTGAGCAGCTCCAGCTCGCTCACCTTGCTCTGCAGGGCTATCACCTCCCGGTCCAGCGCCCTCAGCCCCGTGGCCAGGAGCCAGCCCAGCCTCCCCGCCAGCTTGCGGGAAGACTTGGATGCCCCTTTCCAGGGCAGTCCGCGCATGGCGATCTCCACCCTGTGGGGGCTCACCACCACCCCGTCGTCTATTTCGGGCCACGTCTCTGGAGTAGCCATCGTGGCAAGGAAAGTGGCCACGGGGGTCCAGCGCTCGGTGCTGGGCCATCCTGGAATATGGGGATTCACCACCACAGCCTCTCCGGCCCCTGACTTTTTCAGCTTTTTCAGCTTTTTTGGTTTTTTTGACCTTTTCGCTAGCCACGACATGGTTGTTTCCAGATCCTGACAACTGTGATAAATGTGGGAGTGGGCACAGGCAGGCAGCTGGGATAACCACCAGGTCAGGGCTAGAATACAAAGAATAGATTTATTTCTGTTACCTCACTAATCAGGGATCCCTGAATCACCACCCAGGCAGGGGCACAGAAGTGGAGATGCAGGCACTGTTAAACTTGGTCCGTGCTGTTCACACTGGTTCATCAAGGGTTATTCCCAGTTGCAAGGTCACTCAGTCCTTCCCTTCAGTCTTCTGCTTTTAAGCTGTTCCCCCTAACAGTGGGAAATAAAGACAAATCAGAACGGTAGCACTTTGTGCCAGTTTACATGTGTTTTGCAAAAATATAAACAATTGTGCAAAGCTGTGGAGAATTGGAGTGTGTAGGGCACTAGTTTCATATTATTTCTTCCCAAAAGTGCATGAAATGATCTTTTATCAGCCAAACTTGAGCAGAACTGAATTGAAATGTTTTACAGTGTAAAACATGCAATTTACAGTGCTTGTAAAGTATAGTTTTTACTGTGAATGAAGGATGTCCATGTACTACAGCTAGAAGGTAGGTGAGTGTGAGTGTGTGATCCAGTGATGTTGTCTTACTGGGCTTTTAGTCATTTTCTGCCTTTGACTAGCATTAAGCTACTATGCTTTCTATTGAAAGAATTCTGATTGCATAAACATTTTGGTTTTTTTACTTCCTGACCTGTATTTGAACAGCACTGCTGACTTCAATTTAGCTTGATGAGGCTAGTAAGCCTAGAAAACTTGGGAAGTTTTTTTGAAGTTAAATCCTCAATACACTGCACTACTGTGCTTGTTCATCATCTGGGTTTTCACAGCTCTAGTGAGAATTTCAAAGGGTTCTGTAGCCAAAGAAAATACCAGACATTAAGTAGCAGGACTTAAAGTGTAGAGTAAATTTTGGCAAATACAGAAGGTAGTGTTTCAAAACTATCTGTTTTCATTGTTACTACATTCGCAGAAAAGTCCATAGGAGACAAACCAAAGAGAAAATGAAATCTGTATTGAGAATACAGATAGTAAAGGTCAGGTTTAAAAAACAATAAATAGAGCAGACTCTTCAATAGTGATAATTTCAGGCACTGGGTTCCATTCAGTAATTTTCAAAACAGTCACTGGTGGATAGGTACTATAACAGAAACAACATGAAAGTCATCAGATCAATTTAAAATAATTCTGTAAATTCTTGAATGAAAATTGAAAACAAAGGCAACCCAATTTTGAGCTGATGAATTTATGTCTTTTCTATATATTAAGCAGAGAAAGCGGCTTCCTTATTTGTATCTTTAACTATATTTACTCAACTGCATAACATTCATTGTCAGCTTCAGATGTGGAATCACACTTAAGAAAAAGGATTAAAGGAAATAGGTTGTAACTGTACTTATACCTTGAAGGAATAATGTTTTTTACTCTTAAAATACTACCAGAAAATAAGTATCCTTGTAATCTGACTCCTCCATGAAAAAAAAAGTTGTTCGACAGTTATACACTTTTCTAAGGGATAATATGAATATCAATTGATATTTGTTCTGTGGAAGGATGAGTGAGCTCTTGTTGCATTAAGGGTATTTAAGTATGGGTATTTAGCAGAAAATAAACCCCTTGTGTCCCAGCCAGTCCTGAGATCAGAGGGGCTCGGTGTGCCTGGGCTTCATTTCAGCCAATTTAACCCTCTAGCTCTATTTGAGCTCAAAAGAACTTGCAGGAATACAGAAGTGCTGTTAGTGCAGTTATCAATCCAGTACCATAGGTCTGCTCTTGTTCAATAAGGATTGTGCCTGATCCAGGTTCACAAATGCTTATTGAAGGTTTATTGAAACAGCAGGGAAGCAGGTTCCCAATTGCCAGTGACAAATGCACTGGCTACAGAGTGCTGCCATGTCATGGCAGAAAGCACACAGTAAGATTCTCATAGCTGTAAATATATCTATATATCTATAAACTGGATATTCCCGAGTGTACCCAATGCAGTTGGAGACGCAAAGCTCACCTAGAGGCATTCCTTCAGGAGAGGGGAGAGGCCATCCACTGGCTGGTCCTGAGCAGGCAGAGATGTTTTCTTCCTCCAGAGGTGTTTTCCTCCTCCAGCCTTTTGTGTCCTGAAGCCTCCCTTTTATATTATAAATTTTGTTCTGTCCCAAGGGGATGGAACAATTGCATGTTATGGACAGGGTTTGGTGACTTTGGTCATACATGCGTTGCATGTCCCATGTTCTCCTTCATTTGAATCCTGAGGGATGTGTAAGTCAATATGTTAATGGAGCTTAATGAGAGTCTCTGTTACTCTGTCAGAATTTATAATTGAAAAATAGGTAGAACAAACACTTTGGCCCTCCTCCTCCACGTACTGAGGCAGCAGCAAAGGCTCTCTGACCTTCATCAGAGGGTCTCTGTGCACACCCTTATCTCCTTAATGAAACAGATTTATAACAAGTGTTGTTTTTCACAGTGAAGGGAGTGTGGCTTTTGCCTGGTACAGAGCCTTGATGTTCTCCTGTGCCTCACTGGAACAACACTGAGCCATGAGATCTCTGAGACTGCTTGAGCCAGGTGCATGATAAGCAAGAGGCCCTGCTCATGCTTTTCTCAACCAGCCTCATCAACTTTTCACTATCTTAAAGTAACACTGTACAATTCTGATCATTTAACCACAGCTTTTGAGCATGTAAGAGTTATTATGTAGGTGTTTTATATGTTTTATTTTGCCAGCTAGCTTTATAGCTAATTTTTATTTTATTTTCTGCTACCATATTCTTAACTGATTATTACAATTATGAATTAAAAATAGACTATTTTTCTCTTCTAATACCAGTTAATATCATCTTTTGAAGTATGAATTGGAATGGCAAGAGTGTGAGCTAAGAGTCTTCCAGGTTTGTGGTTGGTATTTTGTCAGTGCAACCCTGTCTCACACCAATGATCAAACTCAGTAGGCAGTTAGCACTGAGCTAACTGGGTTTGTCTGCCTGTGACAGTGCCAACAGCAGGAATGTCACTTCTCTAAAAAATTTGCAAGATTGTGCACTAGGAAAGAGGCACTGCACTTTGGAGTGAGAGGAAACCACAAAAGCTGTCCATCCACCCCATTGCATGCTAAAACAAAGCACACACAGAAGTTACATTAGAAATAGTTTTCAGTGACAGAAATATTGGCCCTACTACTTTCTTAGACTCTTACAATTTATAACACAGTCTGCTGATAAGCTGGAATGTAACCTGTATGAAGAGAGAGAGATGGAGAAATAGATGACCTGCCCTAAATGTTTTTGGTTTGCAAGGTCCTTCCTTTGGTTATCTGTGAGTGGGTGAGTGATCAAAAATTCAGAACTTCCCTGAGACAAGTAACATGCAATGCTTGATGGTGTGTTTGCTTCCCTTTCAAATATTCCACAGACTGTACAGCAAAAAGACAGATTAGGCTTTGCATCAGATTTACTGGAGCTCTACCTCCTTGCCTTTGGACTCCAGCTTGCTTTTTACACTCCTGTCTGAAGTTGCAGAAGAATTAAGCTTGTGTGAGCGCTGTTTGTACATAACACGCTTTCCCAAGTGACTATTTAGCACTATTAAAGAACAAAACCAAGACTAGCAATAAGTTTGTGGTAAATGTAAATGTATTCTATTTAAAAATGGTTCATGATATCTTTTCATAATGACCATCTTTTTGCTACATGCAGAGTGCTGATGGCATTAGTGAATTAAAAAATACAAAGATATTCAGGGATTTGGACCTGATTTGCATTTACAGTACAGATGTTTAGCAGTGTTGGATAGTGCAGGGGACTTAAAGTATAGGAAGAAATGTAAGAGAGCTGCACTTCAAGCCTTCCTGACACTGCTTGACTGCTGTGCATTGTGTGCCTATTAAGGTACACTCTTGTAGCATTTGTAGTTTTAAACTTCTAATCCTGCACGAGGTACCAGTGCCATCTACTATATTTTAATCAGTTACATCAAACGTGAGTTTAGTAGAAACATGAGCATAGTGATAATTTTTACTGCTTTTCTGCAAATGTTGTGTTTTGAGAAATACTCCTTTCTTCAGTGTCTGTCACTGGAAAATGTGTTTTTAAATCCTCGTCTGAATTTTTATGTGTTTATTTTTTAATTTCCTGTCAATATAAATGGAATCAGTGGCTCTGTCTGTTATTAATATTTAAAATATGGGTGTTTGGGCTTTTTAACATACAAGTTGCTAGTGCCCCTTTAAATTTCCTTCAGTTGTTCTATACCTCTAAAAAAATCTTTCATTACCAAGTTGTTTATCTGAGAAGAAAGTGAGACTGTCTCTTTGTATTGCTGAATAACATCACTCTTTTTCTCAAGAAGTCATTACACACTGACATCATATTGTTCTTTATTAGATGATCTGTTGCCTGCAAGTATCTTGGTGACACTGAACTTGAAAGCAACAAGAGTACAAGTGCTAGGATGCCTGGAGAGCAGAGACTGGCAATACCTTGCTCAAGCAAATATCCAAGACAATTTTTAAAAGGCATTAACAAATACAAACCACCCCCACAGAGGTAATTTTCACCTCTGAATTTTTGCTTGTTTCTTAGTCCAGCCCAGGCTTCAGCCATCAGTGTTACAAAGCTGGAAGCCAAGTCCTACCTAGCAACGATAGCCATGTGCAATAATTTAAACTTAAAGAAAAATAACACAGCTGCTGGTAGAGTAGTGTCCAGAGATTTCTAGGTGCTTTCCAACAATAAAAGGGTGGTTTCTGTCCTGAAAATGTATCTGTGTGCATAGAAAGAGACCTTCAATATTCACAAAGACCACAATTAGTGCTGCACTGTAATTGTCATTCCCTGATTAGCTGGAAATCTTATATACCCAATGGGTTTTATTTTTCCTATTCATGAGTTACATGAGACAATATAGTAGCTTGTGAAATTTGTACAACTATTCCTTTGATTTGTGCTGCTTTTCACATCTTTTATTGTGAACTCTCAAAATTCTTAACCCTGTGAATGAGTGTATAGCTCTAGTGGTAATTTTTAGTATGATGACTGGATGAGAATCATCCTGAGGTCTTTTAAAATATAAAGATATAATGGAAAAAAATTATCTTTTCTTATAGACAATGTATTGTTCTCTTTAATTGTGCTGTTCTGTGAAATATTCCTCCCATGAATTTACTTAATGCAGAAGGAAGAATCACCATCCAAAAAAGCTGAGATATTATCCTGATAATCTCCAAATTCCAAACCCAGTCTCCAGCTCCCTGAAGGAGAAAGCTAAAAACAGAGTTTGCCTGCTTTCCTTCCACAGGTGGGGTCACTTACCTTAGGGAGAGGAGTTAACACAGCTGCAGTTGTCTCATAAACATCTTTATTATCACAGCAGTTTGGTTTAGTTTGTTTTGTTTTGTTTTGTTTTGTTTTAAATTTATAATAAAACAGCAATGAAAGACTTAAAATATGTTAGCCTTCAGAGCTATTAATTACATTCCCTGTCAGGTGGGATGGTAGAAGTGAGGCAAGAGCTGTGTGGCCAGAGAGGTGCCCACAATGTATCTTGCTTTTGCAGCATGTTCTAACTGTTTAAATTTCCTGTTCCCACTCAGCCCCAACTGACACTCAGCTCAGGCATTCCTGTGGCCACTAAAACATTGGGTGCAAAGAAGGTAATTATAATGGTGAAGTTCCTTCAGCCATTATAATTTCCAAGTACCTCCTGACTCATGAGGAGCCAGAGGCATGTGGCTCATTAATTCTCCTCTGATTACCAACTTGTGCCATCCCAGCCTGGGCACCCCTGGTACACAGTGATCAAACACAGGGCTTGAACAGTTAATGCTCTGTTTGCAGATCCTGTTGGATCACTACTAAAGTTGCATGGGTGAAATAGATAAAGTTGGGAAGTCTGCAATAGAAGTGTTTGCCTTTATACTTATTTACTCACTGTTGTTGCCTTTGTACAATAATATCTTTTCCCTGAAGGTCTTTGAAAAATTCGATCACAAAATGGAAAGAGGGTATGTTTGTTCTGGGTAAAATTTGGAAGCATTGTTCTGATGACACCTGTAAAACATAATTATAACTCCCATAGCTGTTTCCTCTCATATTTAGAGAGGAAAATTCTTTGCCTCTAATCTCAGGTGCATACCTGTGGAAGCCTTAGATTCCTTCAAGCAGTATCAAAGTAATGATAACAGTGTGCAGCTGCTGACTGTCTTTTGCTTGTTGTTACTCACCCAGCTGTTTAGAGGAGAAGAAAAAGAGAGAGAATATCTCTAATCAGCCATATGGCACAAAGTTTTATTTGCCACAGTAAGTTAAAACGCTCATTATTGGTCAGCATCTTGAATGCAAATTCTGCCATAGCTTTTCAGGAGTGCTAGATCTGATGGAAAAGAAGATCAGATATATTTAGCTCACATTATTTTATATAAAGTATGGAAAGAATTGATTCTGTCTAAGTAGAGTTTTCATGACTGGATTTTGCTATACCCAAAAGGGGGCATGAGCATGGAGTGCAGATCTCAGGCCCTGCTTTGGGCCATAAAAGGTAAATTAAGGGCAGTTGAAATGGTATTTCAGATTTTTGCAGTGCAGTTTTGCTTTGCTTATATTGTCTATTAGACAAATTAGGATTCTGGATCACACAAGCGGGACGTGAAATCTAGATGTCTTTAGTAGCTGTTGATATTTACAATGCATTCAGCCAGTAGTTTTTTCATTAAGAAAATGTTTAATTTTGCTGCTGTTTTTAAATTGAACAAGAAACATAGAGTTAAATGTAAGGAAAACATTTTTTGTCTTAAAAAACCACACTTTTTGCAATGTATGTAAATGCTAGAGGAGAAGTGAGGGACTAATGTGTATGAGTTTTGTGAGTCTCCATTCTGTAAATTGCAATGGAAAATGAGTTTTGAGGGTTGGCTGGACTGAAAGTTTAGCAAGTCTATCTTTTAAAGCCTCCTCTGTCATTTCTTGTGTGCAAATGTTTGGAACTCCTTTCAATGTGGACATATTGACATCAAATATAGTCTTAGGAGGACTCAATGTTATTAAAAACGTAAAAGGGAGGTGCACACTTTTGTATCCAGGATTGGGCGCACGGCTTTAAAAACTGAGAGGGATTGTAGCCCTTCTCATCCTGCTTCTTACAATACTCCTACAACACTTTTTTTCCTCTGAAACTTGTTGTATTTCAGAAGATTTAAGAATATGGTTTATTTTGTCTTCTTGTAGTATTTTGAAACAATTTCCAGAAAGAAAAAATAACCAGTTCTTCCAAGTGTCTTTAATGCATAGATCTCAAAGGACTCTCTAGTCCCTGATTTCCTGCCTAATTGATCAGACTATTATTAT